ACCCTCCAAATTTGAGCCCATTCTGAGGTCTCTAACTTCAGAAACTTAATTAAAATCCATAGGCTGTAAAACCTTCAAATATTTACGGCCTATGCCACTGAACCTGCCATCCAGTAGATTCTGACCTTAGAGCCTTCACCGAAGCCTCTAGTCACTTCCAGACATTTAATCTTGATATGTTGATCAATAAACTGCATTTTTCTGGATCCATTTTAGCCCCTAGTCGTCATGAGCCCAAAATGACCAAAATACCCCTATGGGGGCTCAAATATTAATTTCTAACCAAATGAACTCCAAATTGGATGCAACCACCTCCAGCAAGTTTCAAATGTCGTTTTAAACCTGTCTTGCCCATTCCCAGCTCTTGAGTCAACTTGGTTGACCAAGTCAACAGAGTTGACCCAAGAAGACCCTTAAGGGTTCAAATTGGGATTTTTACCAAATTGACCCTTTCAAACCTCGAAACCACACCCAATAGACTCAAAATGTCATTTCAAATTAATTGAACCCATTTCCAGACCCTTGACCAACCTGATTGGTCAAATAACCCATAATTGATTCAAGGCCCATTAAAGGCCCAATAGGCATATTTGACCCAAATGGCCTATTCAATCCCTGAAACCACCTCTAATAGACTTCAAATATCATTTCAAACCTACCCAATCTAAACACACCCCTTGGGTCAACCTAGTTGACCCAGTCAACCTTGGTTGACTCAAATTCCTTTAAGGCCTTAATTGGTTATTTAAACCCATTTAATCCATTGAATCCATTTTAAGCTTCAAATCATCTCCTAACATGACCTAACCATGCTTTAGGATGTTGGCCAATCAAATCCAATTAGGGTTGACCAAGTCAACTGTAAGGTTGGGTTAAATCCATTCCAAGCCCCATATCAAATTCAAACCTCCATCCCTTCATTTGAATTTGGTTCTGATTCATTTTAATCAATCTTTGAGGCCACTTGGCTGCCACATAGACAGTTCACTTGGGTATTGAGCAGTCAACATTTGGTCAACAACTCTTTAAATGTCTAAATGGCTTGAACCCTCAAACTCCTAGTGGAATATTTCCTTAAGCTCTCCACATTCCAGCATTCAAAGCAATCCTCCTTGCCACCTTGCATGTCACATCAGCTACCTTGACCCATTGACTGGTCAAACAGTCAATGGAGGGTCAAAGTAGCCTCCAAATGGCTTAAATCCCTGATTAAACTTCATTAGCTCAAATCCCATTAACTCCAGCAGCTCTAATCATGTTCTAGAACTTTCCTAGACTCTATTACAGCCCTTTGATCTTGATCAAATAGCCCTCAAGGCTCCATGTGTCCATGAGGGGACCAAGGGAACTTTCCAACTAGCATGTCCTTCATGTCCTTTATCCCAGCTTTCCAACTGCCCCCTTGACACTTGGCAGCCATCAGGGAGTTCATCCAATTGATCCTAGCCGCTCCTTTGGCTAGAGGAGGATTGAATAGGGTAAAACCCTATATTGAGCCCCCATTGAGATCCCATCAATCTCTCTCCATCCCCAGCCTCTAAAACCTAATTCTCTGTTCCCTTGAGCTCCCCAGAGAATTTTCCACACTTCCTAAGTCGAATCCCGCCGGCTAAAGGCCTTTCCGGCAAGCTTCCCAGCGAACCTGGCTCAGGTCCGTCCAAGGAGTATTCCTCTCGATCCAGGCATTATAAGGACAAGGAGTCTTCTACAACATTGAACGTGGACAGTCAACAAGCTCAGAAAACCAAAGATCTTCCGAATCCACTGGTTGGATTGAGGTAAAAACCTAAACCTAGTTTAGGACACTTAGTTAAATTAGCTTTCTAATAAGTGCATTTAAAACATTAAAAAAATATCCCCATTTCTGCTCTTCACCTAGGTAATCTAAGTTTAAAATTTTAAGTCATTTGGTTCACTGTATCGAAAGAACGAGCCAAAAACCCCTTATAGGGCGTTCTTGAGGCTTCGTCCAGGCATCCCGATCTTGGACCGTTGATCACTCGATCAACGGTCAAGATCCAGTCTTTCCGTATATTGATACGACCGTGTATCCGTTTCGGCGCCTCGTATCTCGTCTGGCGCCATCTATGCCCTCAATTCAGACCGCGAGATCAAGATCTCGCCGTCTAATCCTCCTCCGCGAGATCAAGATCTCGCCGTCTAATCCTCCTCCGCGAGATCAGCCGCGTAATCTCATTTGGGCCGTTGATTGCGAGAGGTCTTCGATCCGACGGCTGTAACCACGTGCTGACGTGGTTAAGTGCCGCGGTTTTCGAAACCGTGTGGGCCTACTTGACTGCCGCCTCTGCGCTGGCCGAACCAGAGCACGCCACGTGGAGCCGCCGCCACCTGAGTTAATAAAAGGGTTTTATTTAATTTTAAAACTAATTAATTACCAGAAAACTTCAAAAAAATATTAAAAAATATTTATAAATCCAAAATTTTAATATTTGGTATCAAAATTTTTATAATCTCATAAATTTTAATTTAAAATTAATTTCAAATCAAAATTCTTAATATAGTTTTAGTTATTTTAAATAATTAACATTTGAATTTTTTTTTATATATACCATTTAATTAAATATTATATTAAATATTTTGAAAAATTAAAATTTATTTTAAAATAACCCTATAACCAGTGGACCTCTCAAATACTTAAAAATTATTTTAATAATATTTTAAAATTATTATATTTTAAAATCTATGTCTTTATATATAAGCTTATACATATAAATACATATATTTAAAAAAAAAATATTTTAAAATTATATATTTAAATATCTAATTTTGAGAGGCCCATTGAAATTTTAAACATAGGTTAAGCTTATGTGAACAGAAATAATGGGGGAGGATTAATGGGTAATTATACATCCAGCACCTTCCAAAGTTTACAACAGCTGGATGAAATATGATTGATTTCTTCCAATACATCACAACCCATTGGGCCAAAATAATCATCTGCAAGCTTCCTTCTGAATAGGAAAGCGCCTGAAGGCAGAGCGTTTGAGAACAGTCGCCATAAAAACACCTGTAATATAGCATCCAGCTTCAGTTTAAATACCCAACTGAATGGAATAACATCACCCAAATTTATATATTTGTCTTCCATAATTAAAGAAGAAATAGATTTTCCAGACAATTTAAATCTCAGTTCTATATTATCCACAGACAAACTGGGAGAAACCTGAATCTTACAGATAAGATCCATGAGATCAGCCCCAAAAAACTGACTGAGTTTCACCCGGTCCCAGCGGCCTTCAGAAATAAAGAAGTCCAGGGTAACATCTTCATCTTCAAAAATACCAACATACGTTGGCCATTTGATTAGAGACTTGTCCATAATCCAAATGTCCTTCAGCACATTAATTCTAGCCCCATCAGATACTCTCCATCTTACATGCTCCCTGAGTGCATTCCACCCTGCAAACAAAATCTTCCAAGTACCGAAATTCCTCCCATACAGCCGATGACTCCACCAATTGGTTCCATACTTAGCAATAAAATGTCTGTTTAACAGAGAATCAGGTTGATCGACCAGCTTCCAAGAAAATTTGGCTCTCATAGCATCCCTCCTAGCCACAGCTGAGTGAACATCCCAACCTCCATATTCCTTTATCTAATAACCTTCTCCCATGCCATGTAATGAAGCCCCTTCTTACCATCACATTTATTCCAAATAAAGTCTCTATAAATCTTCTCAAACTCCAATAATGTTTTCATCGGAATGAGAGAATGAGTCATGATAAAAACTGGAAGAGAAAGATAAACTTATTTAACTAAAACCAGTCTTCCTACAAACGAGACTAATACATTCCCCCAAGCATTAATTTTCTTACAGCATTTATCCAATAAGTCCTGAAAATCTGCCTTCCTTAATCGCCTCAAAGCCAATTTAATGCCCAAATACTCAAACTCATCAACTAACTTAAAACCCAAAAATTTGGAAACCTGCAACCTTCTTTTCCTGTCCACTGAATTACCACAAACCAAAGAAGATTTATGGTAATTAATATTCTGACCAGTCCACCTATAGTAATTCTCCAAGATCTTTTTAACTTTCTTCATGACATTCACTTTAGCTTCCAAAAACAGCAGAATATCATCTGCAAATAATAGATGAGAAATCCTCTGGGCATTAGCAGAAATAAAAATACCCACCTCAGTACCCCTACTACGAAAGGCATTGGTAAGTAGTTGGGAACAAAGTATAAACATAAAAGGAGACATTGGACATCCTTGACGAAAGCCACTCTTCCCTTCGATCCAACCAGAATTAAACCCATTAATCACAATAGAAAATCTTGGATCTATAATACATTTCATCACCAAATGAACAAATCTTGAAGGGAACCCCAATTCTATCAACATTCTCTCCAAAGTAGACCAACACATACTATCATCTACTTGCTCCATGTCCACTTTGATTGCTAAGAATCCATTACATGCTTTGCAAAATCTCAATTTGTTAAAAACTTCCTGAGCAAGAAGAAGATGATCTGAGATTGACCTACCCCTCACAAAAGCCGCTTGTTCTTTAGAAACAATCCTGGGCATAATCTCCACCATTCTGTTAAGCAAAACTTCAGCAACAATTTTATAAATTGAATTACAAAGACTAATGGGGCGGTAAGCCAAAGGAATACTGGGATTAGAAGATTTAAGAATAAGCACAACTAAGATGTCTTTCCATACCCTATTCATAGAACCAGTAAGGAAAAACTGCTGCACAGCCCGCACTACATCCACTTTAATGATTTTCCAAAAAGCTTTGAAAAAGGAATAGGTGATTCCATCAAATCCCAGAGCTCTGTTACTCCTCAGATTTAAAACAACTTCACTAATTTCAGCTTCATCCAGCTCCCTGTTCAACAAGATCTTATCACTGTCAAGCAAAGAAGCCCACGGCTTTGGCCACCCAGCAAAGCTACAGATTTTGGCTTTCCATTTCACCTGAAAAACCTCGTGAACACCTGCTCAATTATACCTGGATCATCCGTCATCTACCCGTTCGGATCCTTCACTTGAGAAATCCAGTTGACATTCCTCCTAAAATTGGCAAAAGAATGGAAGAATTTGGTATTTGCATCACTATTCTTAATCCACTTTGCTTTAGCTCTCTGTCTCCACCAAGTATTTAGATAATTCAGCACAACTTTTAGTTCTTTCACTTTAGCTTTAAGTAAGCACAGTTTATCCTCATTCAACCACCGAAGCCTTGATTCTTCTTCTTGCAAAACAAGAATTTCAGCTTTTAATTTATCTTTCTCCAAAGAAAAATTCTTTAATCTAGCCTTGCTCCAATAAAATAAGTCTTTCAAAGTCCTTTTACATTTTTTATTCAAAACCTCCATGTCATCCCCCAAGAATGGTCTCTTCCACCTACTGGATACAATATACTCAGCAGTCTTAAAGGAAAGCCAAGCATCTTCAAACTTTATACCACTTCTACCTTTACAAACCAATTCAAACATCTTAAGTACAATCGGACAATGGTCCAAAGCAACTCTAGCAAGATGTCTAACCAAGGTAATTTGGATTTTGTTGATGGCCAAGGAGTTAAGAATACACCTATCAAGCCTCTCCAAAATCCTTTCTCCACCACTTTTGTTATAACACCAAGTGTACCTGGGTCCAACAAATTCGACTTCATGATAGTCATTCTCATTCATAAACTTCAACATATCCAAAGAGCCTTGATTGTTTTTAAACCTTCTACCACCCTTCTTGTCCTCTTGAGCCAAAATGCAATTAAAATCCCCTTTAACAATAAAAGGAATATCTCTATTGGAAGCCTCTTGAAAAAACTCCCAAAGATACCTTCTCTTCATAGTCTCCTTACTAGCATAAACAGTAGAAATCATCCACACACCAATATTGAAAACATTGAGATCACCAATAACACATTAATCTAAAGTTTTCAAAATAGAAAAGGATGCTAAATCCGATCTCCAAAGTACCATAATACCACCAAAAAGCCCTTCAGAGGGAAGAATGAAGTAATCCCAACCAAGTCCCATCATCCTAACAAACAATCCCTTATCCATAGAAGAAATTTTAGTTTCAAGCAACCCAACAAAGAAAACTTTGTGGACTTTAATAATCTCCTTTAAATAGAGGAAGGCCTCCCTCTTTTTGGCCCCCCTACAATTCCAGAAAATAATGGATTCCAATAAAAAGGTCTGGGGGAAGAGCCCCCACCTTTTTTCTTTGAACCTCCATCCGCACTCCTAGCCTTGAACTATTTTTAGTAGGCCCCAAAGCTCTATGTTCTTTAGCAAGCTTTCGTTTCACTATTTCTTCACTAGAACCATCTTCTTCCTCTATCCTCCCAGCAAACAAACTCCCTTCACATCCCTTGACCTTCTCAGCATCAGCAGGTCTCCATGAAAAACGAGGAATTCCTTTACTGCCACCTCCTCCAGAAATGATTTTAATACAAGCACCCTCTATCCCATCCTCATCCACCCCTTCCAACACAGCAAATTTATTCAAACTAGCTTGAACAACAGGGAGATTAGCATTAGAAACCATATCTTCGATCTTAGAAGGAGCCTCAACCGAAACAGCAACCTCTATAGCAGAATTTATCAACCCGGCATACTCCCTTCCAGAAGCCATCTCTTCCTCTACACCAGGTGTGTCACCTTCTTCCAAGTGAGAATCTGCAACAATATCATTCACCTTTTCACAATTTCCATTACCTGTAATAGTTTTTCCATCCAAATCATCACGAGTTCCATCCATTTTCACCCACTATTTTTTTATTGAAATCTGTTTCTCCTTCTGGATAACCGGCCTTCTATTTAATTTCTTCTTAACCATGATCCAAGGACCATACGAGGGATCAGAATTCTCTTCCTGAACCTTTTCTACCTCCTTAGCTCCCTTAGATTCTCCAATATTCGTTTCCATTCCTGTATTCCAAGCAGCTTTTAATCTACACTCATATCTAAGGTGTCCCACCATTCCACATCCATAGTAAAGAGTCGAAATCTTCTCATACTAAAATCTTTGAAAGAATTTCCCAGAGATGCTCTCAACCCAAACCCCTAGAGGAAGACTCTAGTCTAGCCTGACTCTTACACAAACTCTGGCAAATTCTCTTTTCCCCTACTGAAACATATTACCATCCATCATCAAAGGTTTACCAATGGAAGAAGCAATTCGAGCCACATTCACTTAAACCCAACACTGCAAGGGCAGCTGAGGCATTCTGATCCAAATAGGGGAGGTTAAGCCTTTCAAAGACAGAGTTGAAAACTCTAAAGACCACTTTTCCATCCCCACAATAGAGCCATTGACAAACCAAGGCCCTCCTGATAAAACACCTTCCATCAACTCAATTGATTCAAAGGAGCACAAAAACCACCCCTTCCCCAATGTAGTAAAGTGAAAATTTTCATACATTTTCCACTGCCTCCGAACCTCCCAAGCAACGACATGAGAAGGAGCCTCCTTACCAAAAACCTTAATAACCAAAGAATTCCTGAGCTTCTGAGAATTCGCAACCTCCATTTCTTCAACCAACTTCAAAGACTTCCCATCTTCCTAGAATACCTTATCATCCTCATTGAAATCCAACCTGATATAGGGCTTTCTCCTCCACGGATTTCCATCCACCTCCGCCAAATCCTTCACAGGCATTCTATCATTCATTTTCTCCACCAACTTTGTACCTCCAGAATTCAAACTTGGAAAGAAATGAATATTTATGTTAACAGAATTATCAACATTCGCATTTATCCCATGGCCTAAACCAGATATTGCATTTGAATTACTAAACCAGTTAACATATATGTTCATTTCTGAAGAAGTCGCAGCCAAATCCACAAAATTAGAATATGAAATTTTACTTACAATCACCGGTGAACCAATTGCTTCTTCATTAGCAATCATCTTCCCCTTACCTTCAACAATCACAACTTTCTTGGACAAATCTAGACAACCCTCCTTGATAACCAACGGTCCAACAGGACGAGCACCAGCGCCTTCTCCAAAAAATTTCCGACTAACCCCACCCAAATCTTGATCACAAGAATCTAATTTAACAGACTTATCACCATTCAACCCTGTAGACGATCGACGACCATCCACCAAAGTCGACGATACAGATCCTTTTCCATTGGTAAATCCACTACCTGCCACCCCCACAGGAGGCCGGTGGCCATCCATCGCCACATGGGAATCCAATTCCGCGAATAACGGAACCGAACCCAAGAAAGAAAAATTAAAAAAAAAATGAAGTATTCTCTCTCTAGAAAACCAGAGCTTCTCTCTCTAGAACTCAAGTCTAGTTGTTAATTGAAGATAGATATTTGTTTAGAAAAGAAAATTATACCTCTAAAAGAGGTTAGAGGAAGGGAAACAATCAACAGTGTTTCTCCCTTTAACTAATTTAGAGATGTCAACCATTGACTACAAATTTTCAAAAATAAAAGTAAGATATAAAATATCATTTTAATTATGACCACAAAGAAAAAGAAGAAAAATTAAAATAACAGAAATAAAAAAAAAAAACATGAAAAATAATAGTAAGTAAAAAGTCAAATAAATATGAAACAAACAAAAGAGTAGAAAAAATAGCAACACAAAACATGAAATTCAGATTTAGTAAACATCAAGTTCATGCATTTTTGTTAATTACACCCAATTTGGCCCTTAAGATGCTGAAATTAACAAAAGTTAATGGTTTAGTAAAGATGTTAGACAGTTGATTCTAAATTGTCATATGATTTAACTCAATGTCTCCTTTGGTCACATGGTCTCTAAGAAAGTGATGCCTTATGTCAATGTATTTGGTCCTTGAAGGTTCGATAGGATTCTTAGAGATGTAGATGGCATAAGTATTATCATAAAAGATTTAAATTTTTCCTACAGGTTCTCCAAAATACAAAATTTGTTGCTTCAACTAAAGGACGGGCCACACAACTTCCTAAGACAATGTACTAAACTTTAGCAATGGAAAGTGCAACAGAGTTTTATTTTCTACTAGACTAGGAAACTAAAGACTTTTCTTTGAATTGATAAGTATTATAAGTGCTCTTTCTATCCACCCTACATCCTATAAAATCAGAATCAGAATATTCAATAATTGCAAACGAAGTGATGTGCCTAAGATACTACATTCTTAAGTTTTGGGTCCCTAAAAGATTTCTAAGAATTTTCTTAACTGCAGTCAGGTGGGATTCCTTACTATCAGCTTAAAATCTTGCACAAAGATAAATACTAAACACTATATAAGGTCAGCTAGTAGTCAAGTAGAGCAATGATCTAATCATTTCTCTGTACTTCTTTTAATTAATCAATTTTCCATTTGAGTCCTTATCAAACTGAACATTTGAAATCATGGGAGAATTTATTGGCTTGGCTTTATATATTTCATATTTATTCAAGATGTCGTTAATGTGCTTTGATTGATTTAGAAAGGTTTCATCATCCAATTATCTTATGGTAAACCCAAAAAAATAGGACAACTCATCCATCATACTCATCTTAAACTCCTTACACATTATTTTAGAAAAATCATCACATAGTCTTTTATTAGATGATCCAAAAAGTATATCATCAACATAGATCTAAATAATAAGTAACTCATCTCTTACTTTCCTTAATAAAAGGGTGATGTCTATGCTCCCCTTAACAAACTCCCTCTCTAATACGAATGTGCTAAGCCTCTCGTACCAAGCTTTGGGTGCAAGTTTTAATCCATACAATCCTTTTTAATTTTTTAAACATGATTTGAAAATTGGGAACTCTCAAAACCTAGGAGTTGCTCTATAAACACATCCTCTTTTATTATCCCATTTAATAAGGCACTCTTGACGTCCATTTAAAAAAGCTTAAATCACTTATAATATGTAAAGGCTAGTGGCACTCTAATGGTTTCAAATCTAACTATAGGAGTGAAGGTCTCCTCAAAATAATCCCTTCGATTTGGTTATACCCCTTACCCACCAATCTCTCCTTATTCCTTACCATCACACCAGAATAATTCAACTTATTCTTAAAGACCCATTTGGTTCCTACTACACTTTATCCCTTTGGTATTTTTATAATCTCCCAAACATCATTTCTAACAAATTATTTTAATTACTCTTGCATGGATAAGATCCGAAACTCATTAGACAAGGCTTGATTTATGTTGATAGGTTCCGTCATTGAGATAAAGATAGAGTGGTTCAATTTCTTCCTAAGTTCATGCCCAGATCTAACACCTTCATAATAGTCTCCTAAAATCAGTTCTTTAGGATGACTCAAAGAATATCTCTAATCCCTAGGCAAAGTGTGTATAGGTTCTACCCTTTCCTCTAGATTCATGTTTTCTACTCTTTGGGTAATCTAACCTACTCCTTCAGTGTTTTGGGGCTCTACGCTCTTCTCCAAATTTTTAACTCCATGGATAATCCCTCAGACTCTATATTCATACTCAACTCTAGACTTCTTAGGATCACATTTATCAAACACTACATGAGTAGTTTCATTCACCTCTAATGTCCTTTATTAAACACCCTAAAAGATTTCTCCACACTCGAATATCCTAAAAACACTCCTTCATCAGGTTTTGGGTCAAATTTTCTTAAGAGTGACTTCTCGTTATTAAGAATGAATACCTTACAGCCAAAGACATGAAGGTGGGAAAGGTTGGGTGTCCTACCCTTAAGAATCTCATAGGGTTTCTTATCTTATTTGGCTCTAACATTTACCCTATTCAACACATAATAAGCTGTGTTTATCGCTTCAGCTGAAAAGTTTTTTGGAATTAAATACTCAGTAAGCATGGCTCTAGCGACCTTAACTAAGGTTCTTTTCTTCTTTTCTGCTATCCCATTCTGCTGAGGGGTCCTTGGAGCTGAGAAGTTTT